TCTGAAAACAAAAAGTTCTGATAATATTTCCTGGTTGGCAGCTCATATCTTAAAGTGAAATGCTATATGCAAAAATAAAAACCACAAAGTAGATAATAATGCTCCTCCCCCGCGCATTTAATCATGTGGGGAATAGAAGAACATAGTAAAAAAAAAAAAGCCAGCTAAGAAATGCGGCCTATGCAGCATTCATTAGTTTTTTGCTATTTGCACTACAAACAAGTATTGCATTTGTACTTATTACTTTCCTGTTCACCTGGAAGCAAAGTTAACAAAGCTAAAATGTTGAAAACCAGATGTTAAAACTTACAATCCTACAACCACTAACAGAAAGTCAGTAACAACAGAGAACCCAGGAAATTGTGAAGCGTCTTGTCTGTGCAGTGTATGGATTGCCTGGAATCAAATCAGAAATGGTCATTGGTCTGTTTCATGAATCATCAGGTGCAGGCATTGCTTATGTATTGCCAAGTAAGATGTGGCAGCCTGAATTTTACAGTTTGCATAGAAAGATACATGGAAGTTGTAGTTACCTATTTTAAATTTGAATACTCCTGGAAATAAAATGATAAAAGCTATCTCCAAATATGGCTTGAACCTAATAACTTCAAAATGTGAGCTTTACTTCACGTGGTAACCAGATATTCATTGGGGATTAACAGGAGATTTAAGAGTTTAGAGTAGGGAAGGAATATGACCACTTCTTTATTCAGAAAGATTTTAGTGACACAGAACACTTTGTTTTAGGTCATTGCATTTTGTGTTGTAACCAGGAAGCTACAATTTGAATAGATGTATGACACCAACGCTACAGTGGGGCTTTACCACCCAGGTCCTTCCCCAGCATACTGGCTTTGTTAGGGCATATTCCCAAGCAACAGCTCTAGGTTTGCCCCATTGGGAACCAGGCCTGGTCACTCGTGTTTCCATCATCCTGGTTGGAGCATGAGTGCAAGAATGACCTCTCATTTCTAAACATGTAGTTCAACAAAATGATGGGAGAAATCATCACATAACAGTGGCCATGGATCACATTAGAACATCAGTGTACAGCAAAGAATACACCATTCCAAACATTCCTTTAAGTTTGCTTGTTAAGATAAATAGTGGCTTATCAGTGTGTAGTGTGGCAATATCTCAAAGTTATGGGTGGCAGCAATGATTCCATATTCTGAAATGGCTGCAGATTAACCTTTCAGAATTGCCTGAGCCAATGGGAGTGACACGCAATTTCATCTTGCCTAAAATTTAAACACCTAGCCTATGATGTGGTATAAACTGACAGACACAGTTTTTAAAAATGAAATAAGAACCAAATCCTTTAACAATGTTTACAGAATTCCTAGATCAGTTTACAGTTGTGCCAAAAGTCTGACTTTCATACTATTCTAAAGACCAAGGTTTGAATCCTTCTTTCCTTTTCTCATCACATCCAGGCTGATCCTGAAGTTCATTTAGCCTCCGGTGGAATCAATTAGTATCTTATGCTCCTTCCCATGTGGTCAGAGCATAAAACTGTACCTCCATCCCCCACACGTCGTCGTGTGGTGATTAACCTTTTATGTGTCGTTCTGGAAGAAGGTTTTAAACCCTGTACATGAGGGCTGCTAGACAGTCTTTAACTCTGGGATTGATGATTTAGCAGTGTAAAAACAAGGTCAGGTTAGTTGATGCCGTCATATGAGTGATTGTATTGATTTAAGCCAAGGAAACAAATAGAAGAGTACATCATATCTCCTTTCAACTTGGCACAATAGTGAGAATATGCGGATGACAAACCACAATTCCAATCAAAACCAGGGACATTAAAGTCTCCAAGTAACAAGATGCGATAATTAAAAGTATCTAAGGATTTTACCAAAAATCTAAAATAATTATTAAACTTGTCAACCTTTGTGTTGGGTGAGAAATAGTGATTACCAATAAGTAAATTATGCCCATCACACATTGCGATCTCCACCCACACAAACTCTTCACAAAATTCGAGATCGACTCGACGCTTCACTCCCATAATAGAGTCTGAGATAGCGATTAGTGCGCCACCGCCACGTAAAATGGAGCCATAGACTCTGTCCGCACGATCAACTGTATAAGTTTCAGGAAAAACATTATGGGTAGAAAATGAATTGTTTAACCAGGTTTCGGTTAGGCAAATAATTTTAAATCCAGAAGAGCACACATTATCATAAACTACAGATGATTTAGTCCTGAGGCCACGCACATTTTGATAACAAATATCAAGATCACCGTCACAAGGCATGGCTCTACTGATACCCCTATAAGAGATGGTCGACTAAACAGGGAGAGGCGCCTCCTCCACACAGCATCAGAGGGCGCTGCATCCATAGGCAAAACCCATGAACTAGCTACAGAAAGGACAGGGTCATCCGGGGAATAAATTTGGTTGGAGCTGAGCCTTCCAAAAAATGGAGTAATTAAACAGCCGTTGGGCCACACCCCGATATTATTAATTAAAGGAAAGTCTTCCTCATTTACAGAAACACAAAAAGAGGCATAAGACGTAAATTTGGTCTTAAGCCTGGTACAAACCAGTAAAGTTATATTAAGTTGTTCCAGAAGAGATTTTTCAACATCTTTTTCGGAGACGTCCGGAGAAAAACGAGAAACAAAAAGTGATTTAGTTCGGGGTCTTTTGGCAATGATGGGGAGGGTGAAACGCTTCTAACCCCAATCAAAGGGACCCTATTTCTACGCAGTGGCTGCGTAACATTGGTGGGGGCTTCTTTCCCGGACAATGCCTTCTTCTTTTTGCCAACCACTGTCACAAATTCATAGTAGGAACAGCAACATCAGCATTCTTCCAGGCAGTAGACTTAACAGGAAAGGTGCTGATGTCAGAAACACTAGCAGACACGGAATGTTGAACAGGCAAACGGGCGACAGCCACTTCACTGTAGCACTCTGCTGCTGAGGGCAATGACCTAACAGGTGTTCTATCTGATGGCCCCTTTAGGTCCATAATCTTTCTTCTCATATCCAAATTTTCGCTTTTAAGTAGAGTGACCTCCTCAGACAGTTTACCCACCATGTCTACAAGAATCTGTAGCATATCAATGGTGGTTTGCCTGTTAAGACGGACCGTCTCAAGTTGAACACTGAGTGTATCGATACTATTAATATCTGGGCAAGGTAGTACAGGCTGCCTCTCAGGAGAAATGATCTTCTTCGTTGAGTCAGACAGCGACACGGACCGTTGTTTAACAGGTGTGTCGTTTGTCCTCGTAAATTTCCCTGTACTGGTACAATTTGAGCACTTATAAGATGATTTTCCCGAAGCCATGTAAAGAGCTATCTCAGCTTCACCAATTTTAAGACAGGAGCAGTGAAAACGAATTTCACAGTCCCCACATCTTAAGCTCTTCTGTTTCCCGTAAACGACTTCTGGCACAAAGAACACAAGTCCTCATTCTGCTGGCTTTATTAAACATAATCCTTATTGCGATGATCCGCTGAAAACTTTTCCAGCGTCTTTCTTAAAAATTCTGATTAATTTTGTGAAAAGGTGTGACACACATCTACTTCAAATCACGTACTCTATCAGAATGGCGTCCCTGTGACGCAATAATGCAGATAGGATTGACACGACGTCACAAAAAGTCGTAAACCGTAAAGGAAGAAAATATAAACATTATTAAATTAAAATTATAGACAACAAATTTGTTTGAATTGCTTGCATCAAGAGAATCGGATTAATAAAACTCTTTTTTGGTTTTGCAGCATTTTAGCCGGAAGTCTTCCTCGTCTTCGTTTCCTGCTCTCGATTATCGATTGGTTAGATTTGTGACTCTACAGAAATCCTGCCATTAGCCATTTTTAGCGTTCCACACGAAGTTTTTGTTACGTTGCGATTGTGAACGACAACTTGAATATTGTTTATTATTAATTGAATGCTGTACTACATTACGTTTTACAAGATCTTCAAGAATGATTAGCATCAGTGATGCTCATACACACACTTAATGTTTTAAAATCGAGTGGTGTCTGTAAGTACCATCTCCTTTAATAACCAGTAACGATGTATTTTAAGTATTTGTGTTTTGCATGATTCTCATTGTAGAGATTTTTTACAACTCTTAAGGCCCTTTTTATATAAATCAAAGAATCTGAGAATACATAGTTACTTGTAATTAACACATTGTTTCCTTAAACGGCATTACAATTTGGACCTTTGTAATGGTGAAGTGTTGTGTTTGTCTTTGAGGTACGGACTGAATTATTATTCATTCTTTGAATAAGGTCGATTCATCAAATCATTCAATCCTGTACAGACACAGATCTAAATAATATGTAACAAATGTATTGGTCAGTTGGTCTTTGAGGTTATCCCCAGAAACGTCTCGGAAGACTCACTTCTACTGTTTCTGTTTCTATTGTCCACTTTCTTCAGTTCTCAACTGTAGAAGCGTGCAAGTAGTGGCATCATGTCATGAAACTTAAGCGCTGTATACTTTATAGTGTGGCCTGATTAAAAGTATCATTCTATCAAGATTTACTTGTATGTACAAATCAGGAAAGCATTCTGTCTATTTGTAATGTTCGCAACATTACACTGTGTATACGAGTATTCTCTTGTTGAGTAAGAAATGGAGTAATGAAAAATATTCATAATAATAATGGGACCCAAACAGTAGTAATGAAACTGGGTTTCTAGTAAATACTGTGATCAGGCTGGAAAACACTTCAAACAGGATGGCTACTAGCGTCATAATTTTTCTTCTTCTGCACTGCCTCGTGTGAGCAACAGTAAGTGTAGGTTGAAGAGATAAGTTCTTTTACCTTTCTCTTTCATACCTGTTGCTAAAATAAAGAAAATGATACTTAATTTCCAAAGGATTTTCAAATTGGAATAATTCTATCATCACCAGATTCTTAGGTCCTCAGAAACTGAGTGCTTTTGACTGTAAGTAAGCCATGTCCATTCTCTGTGCATCAGAAGGCATGTCTACAGTGAGGTTCATCTGGTTAAGTGCGCATTCAATCTAAAATTAATTAAAACTGTCAGTAGATTCCAGGATTAGAGAACTCATGTAAATCTTCACTCTTATAAACTGTTCCTGTAAAATATGAAAAGTATATTGTTTTATTGTCCACGTGACACAAATCACTTTCAAATTGCACTAAACCATTAACCTGCTGTCCTGTAATATGGGAATTTAAGTCCCTAATTCCCTTATGACGAATGTTAAATAGTCACATACTAAAAATGTTTAAAATATTTTATGTAATGTACTAATTATCTGCCTGATTTCGACATTTTACAGAAATTTGATTAAAATATAAAATTTTAAATTTAAATTACTTATATTCTTTTATGTTTAGCTGTAATGACAGGCATGCATGAATGCCGTCATGTTACTACAATATTGCTCATATGCATTATTCAGAGTACAACTCTTTACCTCGATTTCCACAATTCTATAATTTAATTTTAATTTTACAGCACAAAATGGGTAAAATCAAAATGGAAAATGATGTTGATGTTCAAAGTGAAAAAGATTCCATTTGCGTGGTATCAGATGAGGTTCATATACAATCAGGAACTTCAATAAAAAAAGATGAAACTGAGGTAAGCCTTCCTTTCAGATGAGCTTTTTTTTTTCCTGTCCATTTATACAAATGCCTGAGCGTTTCTTCTTACTAAGTGAAAAATATATTTCCAATTCCATATTCATATTGTTGTATACCTATGTAGAATAATCTAATTACGGGAATCCTAATAACCACATATAGCACATATGTAATTAATTATAAGGTAGAATCATTAAGTTACTAAATAAAGTGTAGTAATCATATTGTTGACCTTGTACAGAAAGCAAGACTTTCCATTTCCAGCTGTTGTAGACAGGGGCGACAGGAAGCCATTATGGTGTCTGCTCCAGATAAGTTTATTGGAAAGGGTTCCAATTATATTCACAGATAGAGAAGGCCTGCTGAGGTCAGGACGCCCAAACTTTGACGGGGTAAGGGGTCGCGGTCCTAGGGGTTTATCGTGTCCTCTAATTGGATCCAGAACCACGCCTTGGGACGACACGTTACAGCTTGCTTGTAAAAAGCCGTCACTGACGTCACAAGGGTGATATCGAGATTTGCTTATAACCAGTGAATTTTGAAGACACATTGGACATTTCACGTTATTCGTCAGGGGGAAACTGCTGGTCTACTCAATTATTTCTATCTATATATATTCAACATTGTGTTTCATACGAACTGTACTCATTGCAATTATCGAAATAAATCATCAACCTTCGAACGTCTTCTCGTCAGACTAGGCATTAACCTTAAGCTGTGTATTGGAACCTACTATCGCCGACCATCGTTCCTAGCCGCTC